GAACTGTTGAGCAGCTGAGCCCACAATCTTCCAGTTTTCCCACAAGGATATCATGGGATACTAAATCAAAAGCCTTTTGGAAGTCCAGGTATATAACATCTACCACGTCTCCCATGTCCAGGTGGCGAGAGACCTGGTTGTTGAAGGAGATGAGATTGGTAAGACAAGGCCTACCCATGACAAAGCCATGCTGGCTGTTGTTCAGAATCTTACCTTCTGCAAGCGTATCGCACATAGATTCTTTAATGAGCTTTTCCAGGATTTTCCCTGGGATGGAAGCTAGGTTGACAGGCCTATAGTTGCCCAGGTACTCCCTTTTCCCCTTCTTATAAATGGAAACAATGTTGGCCCTCTTCCAATCCTCAGGGATTTCCCCTGTGCGCCACGAATTCTGAAAAAGCTTTGCCAGGGGTTCTGTGATAACCTCAGCCAACTCCTTCAGCACTCTCGGATTGAGTCCATCTGGTCCCGCTGACCTATAAATGTCTAGCTTTTCTAGTTGGTATTGCACCCGCTCAGCATCCACAGTGGGGAAGCTGTCAGTCCTGTCATGTCCCCTATGAGCCTTATCTCACTTGACTTTCTCCTTGGTCCAGTGAAATACTGAAGCAAAGTGGGCATTCAGGGGTTCAGTTTTTTCGTGACTATCATTACCAGCTGTCCCAAAGTGCTAAGCAACGGTCCCACACTTCCATTTGTTTTTCTTCTACTACCTACATACCTAAAAAAGAACTTATTGTCCTTGACTTCCATAGCTAACCTAAACTCCATCGCCGCCATGATTTTCCTGATCATTTCTCTGTAAGTGCCTGCCACTGTTGTATAGTCCTCCTTGTGGACCTTCCCTAGCTTTCACTGTGCATACACCTCTTTTTTCTTTTTTAAGAGGACTGCAATGTCCCTATTAAGCCAGGAGGGCTTGCCAGCCCTTCTGCTGCCTTTCCTCTTTGCACGAATGGTTTTCTTTTGTGCTTCAAGGATCGTGTCCCTGAGCAATGGCCACTCTTCATGCACCCCATTTGCCTTGCCTTCCTGGTCCTGCATCGCCTCCCCTATTAATGCTCTGAGCCTGTTGAAGTCAGCATTTTTGAAGTCCAGGACTTCAATCCTGCTGGTTGATTTGTCAACCTTGCAGTGGACGTCGAACCTGATAATTTCATGGTCACCGTTGCCCAGGTTACCCTCAACATTCAAGCCACACAATTGAAGTCACCCATGACAACCAAGTCCCTTGCACACGCGGCCTCTGTCAGTTCTTGAGAGAACTCCAGATCCAGCTCCTCTCCTTGGTTTGGTGGCCTGTAGTAAATGCCTACAGTTACCCCCACCACCACCCCTTCTGTAGCTTGACCCAGAGGGTTTCAAGCTGCTCATCTTTGGAGTCAATGTCAGCCTCCAGAGAGGTGTACTGCTCTCTCACATAGAGAACTACCCCTCTGCCTTTTCTCCCTACTCTGTCCCTTCTGTGCAGGGTGCAGCCCTCTACGGCTACACTCCAATCATGCAAGGAGTCCCACCAGGTCTCAGTGATCCCTACCAGATCATATTGCCCACTAGAAAACAGGAGAGCTAGCTCCTCCTGCTCGTTTCCCATGCTCCTGGCATTGGTGTACAGGCAGCTGAGGCCCCCAACTGACACCCTCGATTTCCTGGGATGCTGTGAGAGAACTGTTTGGTTAACATTTTCAAAAACAGTTGTGCTAGTGTCCTCCACAAGGGAGCTTTCCTGTCTGCCAGTCCCCAGGCATGCTCCACTTCGAGCTTCCCTGCCCCCCAGCAAAGTCAGTTTTATTGTGCTGAGCAGGGTAATTTCTCAAGCCCAGACACTCATCAAAATCAAAAGCTAGTGCATAGTTTCTCAAAGTGTTGCCCAAATCATGGTTCATGAACCATCAGTACCTTTGGAGAGGTCTCTAGTAAAATGGTGCCAAGTGGCAGCTATGAACAAAGTCCTCTCCCCCTAATATTACTTTATCTCATGAAAGCAATTGCTATAGCTGCCATGTGGATCTTAACTGATTGTAAATCAGGTGGAAGGATGCCTGTGCAATTGTGAATAGTCAAACAGGTGGCCACTGCACGCTTCAATAGGCAGGTAGTATCCTACTTTCCTTCATCAAAAGTCCTCCTCACCTGTTGCTCTAGAAGGTTTGAGCTTTCCTTTCTTTCATCCACACTGACTTTGCTTTCCTCCAGGTCAGGGGCTAGACATGCTGCATCTAAATGGGTCTTACTGTCATGGGCTGTTGATCATAAACAATGTATTTTGTGGAGGACCTAACTGAAACCTTTTCCTGAACACCCATATGCTGGTGGGAGGGGGTTGTTGAAACCAGATACAACCTGGAATCAAGTCACGCCCTCCCCCCACAGCTAAAATATAAACTCTTTTCTGCCCACAATTCACACATGGCCATACGCTGCTTGCCCACATTCAACACCAGTGACTCCTTGGCTTCATAGAAGAATCAGGTGTTCCTTCCCACAATGTACTGACCCATATACTGCAGAAACAGCAAGTTTGGTAGTTCCTAAATATTTTGATAGACATATTTGAAGTATTGGAACCTGCCCTTATAAGCTATGCTAGGAGTAAAGGGGACACAGCATGGGGATGAACAGCAGGTCCTAGGGGTTGCCACTCTATGCCTCTCACACAAGCACACAGGTGAGTGAATAGGGTCAGTGAATATAGAGACTCATCTCCATGCTCAGCCTGCTGCTCAGGAGAGCAGTAAGACCCATTGATGAACAAGGAAGTGAAGCAATGCAGGGGACCCAAAGAGAGGATTATGGCTCACCATCATAATTCCTTTTCCGAAGTGCTTCTGGGCCACACACATTTCTTTACAGAGGGGACAACATACTAAGTAGCACTTCCCATCTATACAGAATGAGGAACATGCTTGCAGAGAGGGGAGGAGTCCAATGTGTGTTGTCACAAGAAATGCAGACAAGTTTGCCACATGGATTCACCCCATTTATTGAATGTGAACAGAAGGCAAAGAACTGAGACACAGCACATCTGTGATTTGGCTTTGGCTCCCAATTTCTGTTTGTAATGGACAGTGAAAGGAGAAGGATCGGATAGTAAAAAAAAGGATCCCAATGAGTTCCTCAGCTTTTTCTTCTTCTAAAAAAAAGAAAGTAAATGTGGAACAATTAGTGGCAGCTATTGCTAACAGATGAAGGATTAATGTGGCAGCAAAATAAAAAGCCATGCCTAATATTCCTTATTGCAAAGAGAATTCAGAAAGGAGTAGGGGGGTTGTTTTTTGAGAAACAGCTGTGGAGAGGGGAAAAAATGTGTTGTTGATGCAGTCATTCACTTTGGGAAGACGGTGACCACTTCATAGCCCTCAGGGGGAGTCACCCGCTCCCGGGCATGCTTCTCGCAGTAGATGCAATCTTCCACAAAGAAGTGTCCTTTGTGCTTGAGGTTTGTCCCACAGTCGCTGCACACGTAGCACTCCGGGTGACGGTGCTTGTCCCGGAGCTTCACAAACACGCCCCTGGGGAAAGCAAACAATGTTGTTCAGCTGCAGAGTGCTGGCAGTCCATACAGGCCTCCACTCCACTGCTGGGCCATGTGTGCTTCCAGACCATGGTAATCACGGCTGGCAGCACACAAATGGGAAGGGCAAAGCGGCGAGTGAGAGAGAGAATGCTGTCCCTCAGCCAGCAAGAGCAGGAGAGGTAACCCCCAAGAGATTAAGCATTCCTCTCCTCACACACGGGGTTCAGGGTGTATGCCTACCCCCTGGCTAAGCAGATACTACAGACCAGATTTTTAGTGGATGTAAACTGATGATATCCTAGGGGCTTCAGTGGAACTATGCTGATTTACACCAGCTGAGGATTAGCCCCATGACTGTCTGGCCTGTGCCTCCCTTGAGAAGGCATTTTTAGAACAGTTCTTCCCAGATTTTCAAATTCCTGCACAAAAGAATTTCCTCATCCTCTTGGAATGGCACCAGCTCCCAATGCTCAGGGGGCCATGGACAGGGGTAAGGGTCAGGATTAAATACCTTTCACTAAAAACTGACTGCAATGCAGCCAGTTTGAACTAAAGGCTGCAGGACCAAAGGGCAGACCTTAAATTGGCAACTTAAAAGTCCGCCAGATGGTTGTGGAAGAGGTATATGGGGATGCTCCCAAGCTATATTTTCAGTTGTGGTGGATGGTAGCCACTGCAGGGAGTACTGCAGCTGTGGCACCAGACTGTTTCATTTAACATGAGCTGCCTCCTTTAGGAAAGCTCTAAACAAGAGTATTTTCAAATCATTTAAACTGAAAGAAGGAATGGAAACTACACAGCAACTCGGCAGCTACCGGGAAAAGCTCCACAGCAATTCACAAAGAGTATAATTTGGCGCAAGCCACAATCTGTATTTTCCATAAATTAATTAGGTCCAGTGCTATTTATAGCAGAGTGTGTTCAAGATCTACCCAGCTGGGAGGCTAACTGCAGAATCTGCAGCGGTTCATGTTTTACATGACATACAGCCCTGTTGACAGAGCTCACTTATGGCCCATCTCTTACACTCATCAGTGTTCCAGCTCTCCCAAGTCTGTGTGATTATGGCACAAGGGATCTGGGCAAGAGGATGTGAAGAGACTCAGGGGGCACATGCTGACCCTCACTGTACAGTAATTTGATCTACTTGGCAGTTAATTTGCTACCTGCAAATGCCGAGTAGTTACTGTGCAGTGCTGTACGTGTAGACCCCCTGTGATTGCAGTTGCAGAGCGGGAGCTGGGAGCTCCCTACTGCTGGGGCAGGAGGACATTTGTTCCCACCTGGGCTCCAGTGGCAAAGCCCACCCCACCAGCAGGCAGCTCCCAGGGGCAGGGAGCAATCTCCCACCCTCTGTTGCCTGGCTGACCAGGAGCAAATTTGTGTCTAGGCCCTGTAATTACAGAGCATTGGATCAACCTCCTGGCACATCTACATGCACCCACTGAAAATAAGACCCAGACCTCTAAGCTCCCAGTCCAGTGCCCTACACACAAAGGCATGCTGCCTCCCTTCCCCTGCCACCTGGAGCAAGTCATGGAACTTGATTTCATATCTGGAAGAGCTGAGATGTAGGGCCTAGACACACCACAGGTTTACACCAGTGTAACCCCTCTCCCCTTCCATAGGGGTGAATTAGGAGAGGTTTATAGCCCTACATCAAGGTAATTTACTAGAATCTGGTACAGAGTTACTCCAGGAAAAATCAAGGCATAAACTAACCCACTGTTGTTTACACTGGTGTTGGTGCGGTGAGGCTGCTTCTATCCCTGAGTAGCTGTTTGCTCAATTAAACAGAATGTTTTTGGTTCAAACATCACCTAGGGGTAGGTTCTGTAATAATACCTACAGCAGGGGCTAACCTGGGGGAGCCCACTGTCTGTGTGTTCTGGACACCAATGTATATTCCACAAGTGTTAATGTGTCACATGTCCAGACCCAAAAAGATATCAACTATGGTTTGGAGAGGACATTTTGTTTCCCGTGCCCAGTGGCAGAGTAGCTTGTATGCATCAGTTAAGATATCGAATGTTACATGTAGCAACTGTATCTGTTCTGTGTTAACCTGAAACCCAGAAGCCATCCATCTACACTGAGAAATCCAATCCTGGCTCTCTATGCAGGGGGAACCCTAACCCCACCACATAGAGAGGGATATTGGGGATATGCAGAACCCTTTGCAAAATGTCAAGAGCCTGATTTGTAGAAGTGGTGAGCACCCATAGCACCATCTGAGCTGAATAGAAGCAGGGAGGTGTTGCATCAGCCCCGGAAAATTCACCCTTACAGATATGCACAACATCTACCTGTACATTCTGCTCTATTAACACTTGGGGCAGGTTAACAACTTACACAATGCCAGATCCACACTTGTCACATACGGGCAACTTCTGGGCATTCCCAATGGAGGAGGCCACTTTGGTTGTGGGGGGTTTCACGCTTCTAAAGCCAGAAGGTTTACTTGCGTCTCCTGTAGATGGGGAGAGAGCACAAGGATTAGGTGATTGCACCAACTTCAGATGAAAAATGGATGTTATTTTTCTAGGTTAAATGCAGCCACTGGTCAAGTAGGAGGAATTAATCCATGGGGGTCTGATGGTCTGTAATGTTGAAGACAGGCTCAGCAAGTGGGCGGACGAGAATCTGATGGTGTTCAATGCCGATAAATGCAAGGTTCTCCACCTTGGGAAGAAAAACCCGCAGCATCCTTATAGGCTCGGCAGTGCTATGTTGGCCAACACTA